CCTCCACGGATGACGCAAGGAGACCGAAGGATGTTCTGTAGCTTTCTCCAAAGGCCTGCAAGTATTTATAGCTGGAATCTCACATTGCAACCTATAATAATCTTGGCTGTTTGACTTCGAGACATGCTCATTTCCTACAGAAAGCGGACATTAATGCACAAGCCGCTTGTGTGGAAAGTCAGCGCCAAGAAAAGTCTGGATGCACTCCTCCTTCTCTTGGTCCATCTAGTTTTTTGGAATATATATTTTCCCCCAGCTGATTAAAACAGGCATTGGGTTCCAAAATTTGCAAAATTGGAAACTGACGTCTGTAAAAGACAGTAGCTTTCCAAATTCCCTCTCTTGGGGGGAAGTTGGGGTGTGTGTGTTGAAGGATATGCATTATTTCTTTCATCACAGCCTTCCACTGTTCTGGCTGGAGTTGCAATCCATCATATCTGGAAGACACCACCAAGTACTTTAGATAGGCCAGCTAAGATGGAGGGAGGGAGGCTCTGTTTTCAAACACAGCGAGGAGGAGGAGGAGGAGGAGGAGGAGGAGGAGGAGGAGGAGGAGGAGGAGGAGGAGGAGGAGGAGGAGGAGGAGGAGGAGGAGGAGGAGGAGAGGGAGGAGAAGGAGGAGGAGAGGGAGAAGGAGAAGGAGAGGGAGAGGAAGGAGAGGGACAAGGAGAAGGAGGAGGAGAGGGAGGAGGAGAAGGAGGAGGAGGAGGAGGAGGAGGAGGAGGAGGAGGACAGAGAGAAGGAGAGGGAGAAGGAGAGGGAGGAGGAGGAGAAGAAGAAATGGAAGAAGAGGAAGAAGGAGAAGGAGAAGGGGAAGGGGAAGGAGAAGGAGAAGGGGAAAAAGAAGGAGAAGGAGAAGGAGAAGGAGAAGGAAAAGAAGAGACGGTGGCGGAAGGGGAAGGGGAAGGGGAAGGGGAAGGGGGAGGAGGAGGAGGAGAAGGAGAAGGAGAAGGAGAAGGAGAAGGAGAAGGAGAAGGAGGGAGGAGGAGGAGGAGAAGGAGAAGGAGAAGGAGAAGGAGAAGGAGAAGGAGAAGGAGAAGGAGAAGGAAGAAGAAGAAGAAGAAGAAGAAGAAGAAGAAGAAGGAAAGAAGAAGAAGAAGAAGAAGAAGAAGAGAAGAAGAAGAAGAAGAAGAAGAAGAAGAAGAAGAAGAAGAAGAAAAAGAAGAAGAAGAAGAAGAAGAAGAAGAAGAAGAAGAAGAAGAAAAAACAACAACAGAAACAGTTGTGGGAGTAAGAGTTCATCGCAAGAACAAGGACTGCCTTTTCTCCAGAACAATCAGTAGCCTGGATATCAATCGATTCGCCCAGTTTCGCCCACAATCTCATCACCGCTTCTTGGGCCTGTGGTTCCTAGGAAAGTTTCCACACAACTCTTGCACAACGGCTTTAGTATTAAGCTGCCTGATCTCCGCTGATTTTCTCTGCTAGGGACTGCCACCTCCGATGAGCTCCTGTTACAGACTTATCATTCCAACCTTGCTTAAGCCAACCCAGAAGAAAGGAATCATTTCTGAATGACTACGGAACTGCAGCGGAAGCTTTAGCCAACCACTCTTGGACCGTGACAGTCTGGATAGAGGAGCGTTTTTCTTCGTGAAAGCCAAGAAAGACCCCCAAAAAAAAGCTATTTTGAAAGAGTTAAAGAGAAGCCACTTGCTTTCCAGTTTGGGGAACAGAGGTGAGAGCTGGGAAGTTGGGACACTTTCATAGGATGAGCTGAGTAACATAAAAAAGGCTGCCACAAAGAAGAGGGAGTCAAGCTATTCTCCAAAGCACCTGAGGGCAGGACAAGAAGCAATGGGTGGAAACTAATGAAGGAGAGAAGCAACCTAGAACTAAAGAGAAATTTCCTGGCAGTGAGAACAATTAACCAGTGGAACAGTTTGCCATCAGAAGTTGTGAATGCTCCAACACTGGAAGTTTTAAAGAAGATATTGGATAACCATTTGTCTGAAGTGTTGCAGGGTTTCCTGCCTATGCAGGGGGTTGGACTAGAAGACCTCCAAGGTCCCTTCCAACTCTATTATTCTGTTCTGTAATTCTTTCTATGCTTACATGTAGCCATCTCATCAAGCTCAAAGAGAGTTCAGAATGATATAGAATCTCCTGGAATGGGTAGGGAGTTCGACTAGAACAGTGATGGCGAACCTTTTAGACATCAAATACACAACTAAAAGGTGCTCACGCTTGCGTGAATGTGCACTTGTGCAGACATGTGCATGCACAGACACATCCGCGGACATGCGTGCATGCGCAGCAGAGACCCAAAGACCAGCTGGCCGGCGGAAGGTGGGGCATCCCAACACTGGCAGCGCAGCAAGAGGTAAGATCTTTTTCTTTCACAAGCTTCTGTTTCGTCGTTTGCAGGGAAACAGAAGCTCATGAAAGAAACGACACGGAGATCTGACCAGGGACGACAGCATGCGTGCCAGCAGAGAAGGTTCTGCGTGCCATCTCTGGCGTGCGTGCCATTAGCTTCGCCATCACGGGACTACCGTGTTTCCCCAAAAATAAGATCCTGTTTTATATTTTTTTCAACCCTGAAATAAGCGCTTGGCCTTATTTTCGGGGAGGTCTTATTATTTTGGGGCGCATGGAGCAAGATGGGGATCCTCTTGCCTTCTTAACTGATTTCCAGCTCTGCATTTAAATATTTTTGGGGAGAGAGGGCTTATTTTTTTGGGGGGGGAGGCTTATTTTAGCGCATGCGCTCAAAAGCCCGATTGGGCTTATTATCAGGGGATGTCTTATTTTCGGGGAAACAGGGTAGAAGATGTCCAAGTCCCTTCCAACCCTATTATTCTACGTTCTTTTCTGCAACACAGCCTTCACAGAAAAGCCCTGCTCTCTCTCCCTCCCTCTCCCCCTCTCTCTCTCGTTCCCAGATCGAAAGTTTTGGGGAGGGAAAAGGAAATGGGTACTCGAGATGGTTACACATGTGGGCTTGTGACACCGCAACCAGGAGAAGATTGTGGCAGAAAACTCTCTCATCACTACACCTGCAGCAGCCAGTTTGACAGCATTTCCAGCAGAACGAGAGGGAATTGCGCCGCCTTCTCATTTTACTCCCGCAGCGGGAGGGGACAGAGAGAGAGAGAGAGAGAGAGAGAGAGAGGCAGCGCCACAGGAATGCAAATCTGAAGCTGCCAAGCCTTCTTGCCAGGCCCACACGTTGCCTCCTGGAAAAGGAAACCTGTTAGGGAAACTTTGCCGGCTGTTGCTTTGCTTCTCCCCTAACAGGAAAGGGAAACCGGTGCCATGGCGTTCCTGGGAGCAATTCCGACACACCACAGCAGCAGTTGTCGGATAGATCGCTTACGATGACTCGGTTTGACCAGGTTGCAAAAGATTGCGTTGGGTGGATTTCGCAAAGGTGCTTGCTTCTTCACACGCCGCCTTCTCGCAAAGCAAAGGGAGGGCTGAGTGGAAAGGAGAGCGTGAGCGCCTCCATTCGTGTCCCCTTCCACAAACGCCACCGTTTGCCGAATGCCAAACCCCAGGAACCCTCATAGTCTTCACAAACTATGTGAAACTTTGCCGTTCACTGCTGAGAACAGAGGTCTTCAAACTTGTCCGCTTTAAGACTTGTGGACCTCAACTCCCAGAATTCTCCAGCCAGCATAGCTTTTATGCATAGGATAAAATGCTATGTTATGCATAGCATAGCTGGCTGGAGAATTCTGGGAGTTGAAGTCCACAAGTCTTAAAGCTGCCAAGTTTGAAGACCTCTGGCTTAGGAACCACGTACGTTTACATCCACACAGGCGCGCACCTTTTCTGGCATTCTCAAGCAGGTTGCGCAATGCACTTCAACGAGCAAATCTAAAATAATTATTTGAACATATAAGCAAGTGGTTTTTTTTTTGGGTTTTTTTTGAAGCCGGCCACAATGTCCTTGACATTCATTTTGCTAGGTCTATGCCCTTCCTAAGATGAAGCAGACACAGCGAAATAGACAGTTCATAGCAAAACTTTCTGAACATTTTCTGGTGGGGCAGAGAAAGCTCTCCAAAGAATGGAATTCTTTGTCGTCACTTTTGGGTCAACGTTAGGGAGGGTTGAGATGACGAATGCCGTATCTCAGAAAGGGATGTCATGGGTTAAAGGTGCGGTCACCCAGAATTTCAGGTAAAACTGACGTTAAAGTTAAACCAAAAGATTTCCTGGTCTACCGTTGCTGAGTGAAGCCAGTAGTTAGGATGCAGTTCTCATGCCACCTATCATATATTTCTCTACAGAGGAGAGAATCTGCATACTCGGTATAGTTTTATGGGTGTCATATCTGAAGGATTGACTGAAGACAGCCCTAGAAATAGACATCTCGGCCCAGAATAATCTGAGTGGTTTACAGCAAAAACACCTTTTCCACTCGAGTTTTGCATTTCCTCTCTGAATTGACATAACTACAGATTAGTCCTCGTCTGGCGACCTCAGCTGAGCCCAAATTTTGTCGTTGCATTTTACGACTTTTTGTGCCACAATTATTAAGCGAATCCCTCCAGTTAAAAGTTAAAAGTTAGTTAGTGACACGGTTGTTAAGTGAATCTGGTTTCCCCAGTTGACTTTGCTCGTCGGAAGGTCGCCAAGAGGAATCACATGACCCCGGGACATTGCAACCGTCATAAATGTGAGTCAGACTATGGGGATACTGCAATGGTCGTAAGTGTGAAAAAAGGGTCATAAGTCATTTTCTCCCTTGCCGTTGTAACTTCAAACTGTCACTAAATGAACTGTTGCAAGTCATGATCTACCTGTATCAATTTGTCAAGTAGCTTAGTACATTTTACTTTATACATAAATAGATAGAGATGAGAGATGAGAGAGAGAGATGATAGATAGATAGATAGATAGATAGATAGATAGATAGATAGATAGATAGAAAGAATCTTGAGGATTGGGCTAGCTTCTCCCTGGAACTAAACATCAAATCTCAACTTGTACATCTCAACAAGATTCAACAACGTACACACATAGAAAGCCGAGGACTTAGCCATACTTACTTGACGGTAACTCGATTAGATAAATCCTGAAGGTCACCAGGATGAAAAAGCTGAGCTTCTTTTAATCCCAGGTTTTCACAGGCTTTCAAAAAGACGTTGATATTATCCTGTGAAAGAAGAGCAGAAGGCGTCCGCTTAGTTTAGGAGCGTGGCAGAAAGCGTGCAGGTCTCAAAGTTCAGTCTGGTCCTCAGGATCACCGATGACAAATAACATTTCCTGTGGGCTCTGGTAGCCACTCCGGAGCTGGCTTGACTGACAGGCAGGTTAAAGATTAGCAGGTATAAAGGCAAATAAAACACACACACACACAAAAAAACGGGGCTGGCCAGTGAGGAGCGGCGTTCCCCCCTCGGTGTCAGCTCTGCAAACAAACGCCCTCTTCTCTTAAGCTTTGCATGACAAGCCTCACCTCTCACATTTAAAAATAACTCCGGCTGCTGACATTCACCCACCCAGGAATGGTTGGCAACGGAGGAGCGAAGGAGGAGGAACCCTTGTTTCTATGCCACCGAGGATTGCAGAAAGCACCACCTGCGAGTGGGTTTTGGTTAACAGAGGACGGAGAAAAAGAGGCAAGGCAAAAGGCGAGGCAGGAGCACAATCTGTGGTTTCAACTGGCCAAACTAGGTGTGGCGGAGCATAAATTTGCACCACCTGCTCCAGGCAGAGACTTACCTCCAACCCTGCGGAGAGATGGAGGAAGTGAGGTTCTTCTTGGGCTGGGAATGCCAACCTGTCTAACTCTTTAGCGTAATTCCCTGATCTCCTCCCTCCTTCCCCCAAAAAAACTATTCAATTATAAACTAGATGATCGAAGGCTGGAAAACAACACTCTTGATAAGAAGCACGCCTGACTGGGAGACCACAAGCAATCCAAACTTCAGAACTGGGGTTGTTCCAGTTAAGGTTTGCAAAACTCGTCTCCCCCAAAAAGTTAGGCATGGTGCGCCTGTTTGGCTGAATTGCAATTCAGAATGTCCTTCGGCGTCTCTTCTTCCTGGCCAGCTGGGGCAAAGGGAATCCCCATTTAGCAATTTTTTTGGGGAAAAAATGACAAGCATCCCATGTGCCTGGGGAGGGGAGAGGGGGGAGGGGGGGAAGAAATGTTTTCTCACCCTCCAGGCGCAAGAGGTTAAGACTAAAACTAACTACACTCTGGACTCAGTATCCCTGCTCTGAAAACAAACAAACAAAAAAAAAGAGCTGTTGTCTAGGACAGTCGGGGATTAGAACACTTGAAAATTCATTTCCGCGGCCACAAATATTTGTATTTGTCCTATTTGGATCCTATTTTGTGGGTCGAGAGAGGGCGAGAGACCAAAGTCCACGGCGGAGGGTAGGTTGGAGTTTTGCTTGTAAACAGGTCTCCGGATTACACTGAGCTGTAATAACTCCAGCAGCCTTTGCTCCCTGGCACAGCATGTGGCTAAGCTGGGCAGGTGCCCAGGATGCTCATTCTTTTTTGGGGGGGAATCAACACACTCCCACATGGCTTGGGGGGGGTGGCCATACCAAAGGGCAGCCCACCCACTACTGTTTGCTCTGCAAACATCTCGGGAGATTCCTGGATTCCAGAATGTTTTTGCTTCTGATGCTCAAGATTGGCTCCAACCAGCAATCCATCAAATGGCCACCTAAAAACTTCCCAATTTGCTTCCCAGCTTCCCAATTTGCTTCCCAGTTATCAAAAGATAACTATTAGATCGCTGGAGAAAGCAATTCTGTTTGGAAGAGTTCGTGCTAAAAGGAAATCGGGCCATCAGAGAACATGGCTGGACACCATTACGACTGACACCAGCCAGAGCATAGAACAACTCAAAGAAGTAGTGCAAGATCAGAAGATGCGGAGACACCTTGGCCCATAGAATCGCCAAGAGTCGGACACAACTGAATGGATAACATCAACATCAACAACAACAACTATTGGGTCACTCACTCCATCTTCCCTCCCATGAATGCCGTCTTCCTGCTGAATTATGCACCCATCTACTCTTTCACGCTCGTGAGATTGTAGGTGCCAAGACGTATAGCTGCATTTACTGAATATAGAATAGTAGAATTGGAAGGGATCTTAGAGATCTTCTATCTAGTCCAACCCAGTGGTGAAATCTAATTTTTTTTACTACTGGTTCTGTGGGTGTGGCTTGTTGGGCATGGTGGGTGTGGCTTGTTGGGCATGGCAGGGGAAGGATACTTCAAAATCTCCATTCCCATCCCACTCCATGGAAAGGATACTGCAAAATCCCCATTCCCACCGCACTCTGGGGCCAGCCAGAGGTGGTATTTGCCAGTTCTCCAAACTACTCAAAATTTCCGCTACTGGTTCTCTAGAACCTGTCAGAACCTGCTGGATTTCACTCCTGGTCCAACCCCCTGATCAAGCAGGAGACCTTATCCCATTTCAAACAAGTGGCTGTGCAGTCTCTTCTTAAAAGCTTCCAGTTGTGGGGACACAAGCCGTTCCACTGGTTAGGAAGATTCTCCTTAGTTCTAGGCTGCTTCTCTCCTTGAGTGGTTTCCATTCATTGTTTCTTGTTTCGCCTTATGGAGCTTTGGAGAACAGGTTGACTCCCCTCCCTCTTTTTGTGGCAACCCCTCGAATATTGGAACACTGCTATCATGTCACCCCTACTCTTTCTTTTCTCTAGACTAGTCAGATCCAATTCTTCCAACTGTTCTTCATATCTTTTAGTCTCCAGGCCCTTAATCATCTCAGTTGCTCTTCTCTGCACTGTTTCCAAAGTCTCAACACCTTTCTGATAATATGGTGACCAAAACCGGATAAAGTACTCCAGGTGTGGTCTTATTAAGGTTTTTATATAGATGTACTAATACTTCGAAGGGATGCGGTGGCTCAGTGGCTAAGACGCTGAGCTTGTTGATCGGAAGGTCGGCAGTTCAGCAGTTCGAATCCCTAGCACCGCGTAATGGAGTGAGCTCCCGTTACTTATCCCAGCTTCTGCCAACCTAGCAGTTCGAAAGCACATAAAAAATGCAAGTAGAAAAATAGGGACCACCTTGGTGGGAAGGTAACAGCGCTCCGTGTGCCTTCGGCATTTAGTCATGCCGGCCACATGACCATGGAGATGTCTTCAGGCAGCGCTGGCTCTTTGGTTTAGAAATGGTGATGAGCACTGCTCCTAGAGCTAGAAATGACTATCATGCATTGTGAGGGAACCTTTACCTTTACCTTACTAATACTTCATGTGATCTTGACTCTATCCCTCTTTCCCCAACTGGGCAGGATCCGTTTGGAAAAACAGAAGCAATCCAGGAAGGGCAGAATTGTGGCAAGCTTGTTTCAATTTAGTTTCTGAACATTTCGTTACCAGACTAGGTAACATCATCAGCAGGATTTTCTTGTCCTATTCTCCTTAGCTTATAAATGTCTTGTGTGTGTCAATGTCCCGACTGACAATCGCAACCCAAACAAGCACACTCAAGACCTGCCAATGTCTCAGTGAAAAACTCCATTGAGTACATCATTTCGGCACTATTGAAGGCAAAGCCAGCTCTACCTAATTCCCGCACAAACCCACATACTTATGATATGAAATTCCCCCTTCCCCCCTATTAGTGCAGGTCACATTGTCTAGTTGAGTGTTGTTGTATTGTTATGAGAAAGAGTCTCTGGGTTTGGCTAACACCTGCAGATGTGTCCTTGGTTCTCACGGCTCTCCTTCTCGAAGTCTGGAGCCTGCAGTCCTTCTGACCCTTCCCTCTCCCTCCCTTTTCATTGGCAAGCCGAGAAGCGATAATGGTGGCAACAGCATAAGTGCCAGTGTGCCAGTTTGCCAGTGTTGTCAGTGGTGTGCGATTGGTTGTTTGTTTGGAGCTAATATTTAAATACTGAGAACAGAACAAGGAAATTCTGATGATGATGTTAGTTAGTCTGGTAACAAAACGTCCAGAAACTAAATTGAAACAATCTTGGAGAGCAACCCACTGCCAAAAATCTAAAACCCAAGCTACAAGTCTTTTCTATTATTTCAGGGCAGAATTACCCCCATTGAGTTCGAGCAGTCTGAATCCAGCAACCAAATCACAGGATGGTTTGTTATTTCTTTTGATCTCACAGCAAGAGGCAGCGCTGTTTGCACAAAAGGACCCCAAATCATGAGAAAGGCATGTGAGGGACAGGACACGTTATGCAGTTAAATATTTTTAAAAATAAAAACAAAAATAATTCCTGGCCCTGCACTCAATTCCAGCTGAGCAACGCTCGAGTTGGCTGCTTTCTTCACTTGCTTAAGCAAAGGGCTGGGCGGGAATCGCGTCATCAATGCGAATTCTGGAATGTGCCACCAAACCACTGACATCATCCTTCTCCCTTTAGCTGAGCACAATTGCAAGCCTGGAGGCCTTTTTAGCAGGGATGGGAGGGGGGGAAAGAGGTGTGTAAAGGTGTATGAGAAAGGGATAAACCACACTCTAAACCAGGATTTGATCCCGTAGCAGTGATGCTGGATTCTTTCCTATCTTAATTCTCCTGCTCGTTCTTCTACATTTCTCGACTTACAACAATTCATTTAGTGATTGTTCGAAGTTACAACGGCACTGAAAAAAGTGACTTATGACCGTTTTTCACACCGACAACCATTGCAGTCCCTTAGCCTATTTAAGGAGGAACACCGACTAAAGCAATTTGCAGGGAACAACTTCGTTCACATACCTTCGTGTCTTGTCTTGCTTATCTTATCAGCTTCCTGCAAATTGCTTCTGGGCATTCTGCCAACCATAATAAGCTTTCAGTTATTATTCTTTGAATTCTTGGCGGCTGTTAATGCAGTTAATTAACAGCCGTTGTAAAACACTGGTTTATTTGGTAAACTAAGGTTTGAACGGACTTTGTGTGTGCTGTGTTCTTTGGGGTCCGTAGCTGAGGCAGAACACCTCCTTGGGGGTCACGTGATCAAAACTGGGAACTGATTCACATTCATGACCATTGTAGCAATAGCACCTAGACTTATATACCGCTTCACAGTGCTTTTACAGCGCTCTCTAAACAGTTTACAGAGTCAGCCTATTGCCCCCAACAATCTGGGTCCTCATTTTACCCACTTCGGAAGGATGGAAAGCTGAGTCAGCCTGGTGAGATTCAAACTG